AGATAAATCAGAGTTTTACTTGCATTGCCAACATCTGCAGACACCCAATCATTCTACTCCAAAACCATCCTTTTCTTTCTAACTCTAAGCAAGCTTGTTTCCTAGTATCCCCAGCACATACGAGAATTCTTGATGTTTGGACTTTGAAAGCAGGTAATGAGAATGTCAGTCTGCACAATTTGACCCTCATTCATTCACTAACCATATTCTTCTACAAATCATGTAGTACACTAAACGATGGGGATAGAAAATCGAAAAACCTGGGACAAAATCACGAAAGAAACTTAGAATTGGCAGAAAATGGCATCTACCAAAACAAAATTACAAGTAAGGCTGGTCAGTTGTGGGAGCTGGCAATCACCAGCAATATTTTCCAAACTTCGGAAATCCGATAGCATCTGTACTATTAACAACATCCTTTAAATCAACTCGCTTTCAGCCTTGTCCCAAATAATATTCTAAAAATGCTCAGTTTTCACCTACACCGATAACTAGTTATCTCAAACGTCCGTCCTTGCCATCTAAAATTGTGTCCAACAGCAAGCGTACCACACACTGGCAAACAGGTACACATTTATTACACTCGGTATCCCAATCGGAACTGTAACGCTCCTAAGGATGGAGGCCAAAACATGTTTCAAGAGCCAACACTAGGGATTCAGTCTGCTTCCTAAACCTCAGCTCCCAGAAGATCCAGTTCAGTTCCCAGTAACTCAGGACACCCGGCAGAATGCAGCTTTCCCTGCGAGTGGCCTCAGCCGCCCAAGCTCCGAGCGCGGCCGCAGGCGACGCTGCACGGCCCACCCCGGCCACCGTCCCCCATGCATACCACCACTGAAGAGGCAAGGCGTTGCCTCAGCCTCCAAGCTGAGGTCCAGGCCCGCAGACCAAGCCCGGGCTACTGCCTCTCTGGGCAGTGGGAAACTCCAGCTGCTGCAAGCGCTGCGGCCTGCGCCCCACAAGCCGGGCTCCCCAGTATACAGGGCGTGCGACGCCCGGGCACTGCTCTCCCCTTCGCCTGCCCAGGACCGCTCGAGGCCAGGATCCCCGGCACAGGCGGGCCCCGGCGCCGTCGCAAGGCACCGCAACGGAGTCTCAGGCTGCGGGATGGTGCCGATAGCCGACGGATGGTGCTGGAGCCCTCAGAAGTAGCTACTCACCGGCAAGGAAAGATGGCGAAAAAAGGAAGAGAATAGTGAGCGCACGGAATCATGGGAAGCGGGCGGGCTATCGCGAGACTTACAAAGGCGCGCTAATTTAAATAAAAAGGACTGCCGTGTGAAAGGAGACGGCTGAAGGGGCGGAACCTCCGCAGGGGTTAGCAGTGGAGAGTCGATGGAATCGACCTCCCGTGGCAACGCTGGGCCCAGGAGGTAAGGGATTATTACTAATGTGTTCGACTCCCTTCTAGCACTTATTTTGTAAAAATAAAAAATTGAAAAGGGCTTAGATATTTGCTAATTTTTATTGCAATAACTTTTTGCCACTTAAAATAAGGAACTGAAATGGAAGACTTGCTTTTAACTGTATACATTTTTGTTTTCTTTTTCAGGATTTTTTTTTAAATTGTGCTTCAGGTGAAAGTTTACAGCTCGAGTTAATTTCTCATACAAAAGTTGATACACATATTGTTATGTGACTGTAGTTGCAATCCCTATAATGTGACAGCACACTCCCCCTTTCCAACCTGGGTTTCCTTTGTCCATCCTACCAGCTCCTGTTCCTTCCTGCCTTCTCATCCTGCCTCCAGACAGGAGCCGCCGCTTTGGTGTTGTGTATCTGCTTTAACAAAGAAGCACAGTCTTCACAAGTATTATTTTATGTTTTAAGTCTAGTCTAATCTTTGTCTGAAGAGTGGGCCTGGGGAACGGTTTTAGTTCTGGGTTAACAGAGCGTTCGGAGGCCATGGCTTTGGGGGTTCCTCCAGTCTCAGACCATTAAGTCTGGTCTTTTTACGTGAACTTGAGTTCTGCTCCGTTGTGTTCCCTGTTGTTTTCTTCTGTTTTTTAAAACATGTATATATTACTTTTTCAAACCAGTTAACAAGATATTTTTAAATTAATGGCACCTTATTGAGTCACCCGAAATCTTAGAAATTATTTACCAGGGCTCCAGACGTTTCTTTGGGGTTGTGGGATACAGTTTGGAAGAAAGCCACAAATGTTTCTAAATAAACACTCGGAATTCTGAGCCAGTAGCTTTTATCTGCTGTTCTACACCCAGACAAGAACCAGTTTGGGCAAGTCTCTCATCCTTTGAACCTCGGTTTCCCCAAATGTAGACTGGAGGTAATATTAATAATGACTGCTTCTTACACGTTATTGCGGGGGTCAGGGGAGATCATGGTGGTAAAGGTCTTGCACAGCGTCTGCCACATCGTAAACAAACAGACAAAAACACCCAAACCCGTTGCTATTAAATCATAGCGACCCTATAGGACAGGGTAGAACTACCCGATAGGATTCCCAAAGCTGTAATCTTTATAGATTTATAGGGTTACTGTGAGTCAGAAGGAAACCCTGGTGGCATAGTAGTTAAGAGCTATGGCTGCTAACCAAAAGGCTGGCAGTTGGAATCCACCAGGCGCTCCTTGGAAACTCTATGGGACAGTTCCACTCTCTCCTATAGGGTCACTATGACTTAATGGCAATGAGTTTGGGTTTTTGTGGTTTTTTTGGTATGAGTCAGAATTGACTCCACAGCAACAGGTTTTTGGTTTCATCTTTTCAGAAGCAGACTGCCGCATCTTTCTTTGCCCTGCAGAACAGCTGGTGGCTTCAAACCGCAGACTTTAGCAGCTGAGGGCTTAACAGCTGCACCACCAGGGCTTCTTTTGTCTGCCACATAAAAGATGCTCCCTAGGGCCCTGTGAGCTTTTGTAAGAAATTACAAAGTAGTCACAAAGTAATTTTCACATAGTGGATGCTCAATATATTTTGGCTATGGATAGAGCAAGGCATTGTGAGTATAGCTTGGAGCGCTAGGGTCTGATCACCTGGGAAGGAGTTAATTCTAGCTCTGCCCTCTTTGGATTCCAGTGACCTGAGGCAAGTTACCTAACATCTGAAATATTTGCAATAGCCTCCTTATCGATCTCGCTGCTTTCACCTTTTCCCTCCCCTCTACTCGCCCCATAGAGGCTGAATCGGAATGGTCTCCAGCGCCAGGTTTGGTTTTTTCCTACTTGCCCCAGGAAAACCCTGGTGGTGCAGTGGTTAAGTACTGGGCTGCTAACCTAGAGGTCAGCGGATGGAACCCACCAGCTATTCTGCGGGAGAAAGATGTGGCAGTCTGCTTCCGTAAAGATTTACAGCCTTGGAAACTCAATGGGACGGTTCTGCTAGTTCCTACAGGGTCATTGAGTCAGAATCAACTCCACAGCAGCAGGCATGGTTTTGGTTTGCTACTCGCCCGAGTTTCTTTCACATTCCTTTTAAAATGGAAGTCAGAACACGCAGCCTCCTAGGGCTCCCTACCACCCAGTAAAATACAAATTCCTTACAAAAGATGATTGGAGAGAGTCCTGGGGAGAAAGAACTCACAAAAGGTTGAGAATGGTCACACAACTGAAGAATGTAATCAGTGTTGCTGAATTGTACACGTAGAAACTGTTGAATTGGCGTATGTTTTGCTGTATGTAGGAGCCCTAGTGGTGCAGTAGTTAAAAAGTGCTTGGCTGCTAACCAAAAGGTTGGAGGTTCGAACCCACCAGCTGCTCTGCGGGAAAGATGTGGCAGTCAGCTTCGATAAAAGATCTGCAGCCTCAGAAACCCTATAAGGCAGTTCTACCCTATCTGGCAATTCTACCCTATCCTATAGGGTCAGTGAGTTAGAATCAACTCGAGGGCAACAGGTTTCATTTGTTTTTTGGTTGCTGTGTATATTCTCAACAAAATTTTTTTAAAAATTAAAAAGCTTACAGGAGACTTCCTGGTGTTCACACCTGCCAGACCACATCCCCCACTGTTCTCCCCTGGCTTGCTGTTTCTCAGACACTCCAAGAATGCTCTGCCTGTCTCAGGTCTTACTCTTCCCTGACTTACTTTCCTCCACTAGGCTTGCTCCCTGCCTTTCTTCAGCTGTCCATTCAGCCATCACACACACATACACATACACTTTTTTTTCCCATGGCACTTAGCACCTGAAATACTGGAAATGTATTTACTTTCTCCTAGCTCTGAACCATTCAGTTTCAAGCAAGCAGGGAATTGCTCAGTGTTGCTGTGTCCACAACTTCTTAGAGAACTGTCTAGAACACAGAAGGCTCTCGATACGTATTTGATGAATCAACGAATGGGCACATCGGTTTCCCCCATCTTAAAATGGGAATGATACTACCACTTGAATTTACTGTGAGGATAAATGAAATAATCCATATAAAAGAGATTAACTCAATGTGAGAACTCAACGTTAGTTACGACCGCAAAGGGGAAGATCAGCATTTCAAGGTATCAGGTGACCACCCACAGGAGACTTGTGGTGACTTTACCCAACCCCCCAGGAGGCTCCAAAAAGGAATCTTGGATTTGGAGTTAAGTGCTCAGGATTTGATACAGAATCTGTTCCCAGGACACAACAGGTATACACAGGCCCAAAAGATAAAACATTGAATTTCAGCCTAATTTTTAGAAGTGTTTTAAGGGCAGACAAAAGTCACCCAACAATTATTTACTGAGCATCTCGTTTGCCAAACTGAGCTGGATGCTGGGGTCAGAGGTTCCTGCAGCGGTGCTCTCTCCACTGAGCCTGCTCTGTACCCTGCCCTGCGTCCCAGCTTGGCCCTCTCACCCAGTTACCTTTGGCCCAGTCTTACTCCTCAGTGTTTCCCCTCCCATCTAGCATGGTGCCCGAATGTTTGCTGAATAAAAAGAATTTAAACCTTTTATTTTGTTCTTAAGAGTACCTTAGAGAGATGTAATAATCACACAGGGTAGTTCATTAATCTGATTCATAAATGCAATCATATACACATTATATTAGCTAAACTATAAAGAAAGTAGGACACAAGATTCCAACTTTTATTTTTCTCCCTTTACACAAACTAGAAGAAAGAATACAGGATTAAACTGTAGAAGTAGTTAATCAGTAGAACATGTATACACAAAAAAACCCAGATAGGAAGACAGGCTTATTTACAATGAGGAAACACATGTAAAATTAAGGTAATTTTCATATGAAACATTAAAAAAAAAAAATGCTACATGGGTGCTACCGTATACAGCAGTATAGAAGGTGGGAAACATTTATTTAAGGGTAGATATATCACAAGCTCCAAGTTTTACACATCAGTGCAATAAATTCACAAAACTATATGACACCTAGTTAATCAGAGTTTAAGAATTGTTCCCAAATATGTCACAACATTTCTGGCCCTCAGAGGATCACTCCTACAGATTGCAACTACTTTAAATTTCTAGTTACTGAAAAGGAGAGAATGATTCTAAGAAGCTTTCCAAGGATTACAAAATCTATGTAGACTACAGGGCAACAATCATCGTCACAAGTTGGCTCTAACCCACAGCTCTTGCAATCTTTAGAGAAATAACTAGGAAAAGTCAGACGCCAGCACAGTCCCTACCTCCTATTCCAGATCTGTGGGGACCGAAAGAGCCAGTACTGCCATAAAATGACAATCTTGCGGCTTACTTTTAAAGACTTACTCTCATCTTGAAAAATTAGCAGGATAAACTATTTTCTACAGAAATGAATCTTGGCTAACCTAAGAAGACTTCTGTCTTTCACTGGCTAGTCTTGGAGTGAAGGTCATAGACATGAGTCTTAACCTACTATGCACTTTTAGTCGGCTGAAAATCTGCAATGAGAACTATGTTAAAACTCCTAATATAATCTTTTGGAAGTCTGCTAATAAAAAGCCTCTAAGGATTTACCAAATTGAAGTCTAACGGGGAGAGGACAAGAGCTCTACACCTGTCAGAGTCCCCATTTAGGACAAACGAGCAACGTTTTCCTACAAATTGCTAAGTTTTGCTCAAGGGAGAAACCAACACATACTAGGTGCATGGAATTAGTTTCATTTTATCCCGTGGGGATTCTTCCTCCACGGTAAAGAAACAGAATGTGGAATGAATCTTAATTGGTCTCTGTATTCACGAAGCTGAACAGTTATTGTACACACACTGTGGAAGCAGACTGCAGAACCAGCTTCCTGTCGCCACAGAACACAATCTTGTATCTAGCTCAAGCAAAGATTAACTCCCACAATTATCAAGAGTCACTGGTAACTGTACTAAAGCATAAAGTTCACTACTATATTATTTTAAAGGCGAGTGCCAAAAAATAAGAATTCAATTAACTGTAGGTGAGAAAATTCAAAACACGTCAGTACTCACTAATGAGTTGTCCACATAAGGTCAACTGATGAGAATGCACCCAGCTACACTGGACACGAAGACACTACGCACAAAGCCTTACTTGGCAGGTCCTGAATTTCTATTAACTAAGGGCAGAATGAGGGAGAGCAAAGAGCTACTTCTGTAACAGTTTAGTCTACAGACAGCATAGTAGAAACTGTTCCCAGGGACAATGTATACTCCATCAATCACACTGAAGAAAGCAGATGCATTATTCATTCTTCTTTTCTTTTTGTTTCAGAAGCTTGTTTATCTCCCTCTTGGCCATTCCAATGTACTTCGAAATGATTCCATGTTGGTTTAGTCCAGGAAGCAACAGTGCGAAAGTTACTGAAACAAAGCAAACAAATAAAATTAAGGAGCCAGCAATGACGTTCCTAAAGGTTTTTATTACATTTTATAGAAGGCAGTTTCCCAGACACTCTAGTTTTTAATCAGACACTTAATGGGAGGAAACAATACGAAATCCATTATTTCCACTAGTACGTATCCCCAGGAACTTATCATACCCCTCCAACCTCAGACAACACACACAGCTTATTTTTTACCTCTCGTACATTACTTTCTACCTTGGTTATATCCTTTGTCTTAGCTTCCTGTAAGACTAAAAACTTCCTGAAAACAAGGAACTGGGTCTTGGTCATCTTTCTACACTGCCACAGACCCCCTGATCAGTACCTTAAACTTTGTAAGCACTCACATAGTTGTTTACTGAATAAGTTACAGTTAGATTTAACTGGCCAGGATGTGCCTGTAGTTATTCCTCCAAGACTTACCAAGCAGGTAGGTGAGAAAAAGGTTGTGGACTTGCTGTCCCACCCAAGCAACCGCAGCAAGAGAAATGATCATGGTCATGAAGTACTAACAATAAAAATAACAAGAATTTATCAACTCTTAGAAGCAGATGAAGAAGCAGAGCTATCATTTTAGGAGTCTGTTTCAAAAGTTGGAAATCATTCCACTTTTATTTAAAAATACTTAATACCTATATATTCTAGAAAACTCCATTACATGTAACTTTATAAAACTTAGATACATTTTCCTTTCTAGAATTACTGACTCCAATGTAAATTAAGCTACTTTTACAATTAATAATTACACATAGTAACCTCATGTGAAGCTGAAAGAAAAATTTTGTTCTACTAGAGTAAAATGCAAAATGTAAATTTCAACTTCCAACGATTCAATCTAATATAAAGATTTATGAGTGTAATCAGACAGTTAAACAGATAATGATAAAAATCAAACTATATTAAAACACAAAAGATTATGTTGCTATGAAGGAAAACTGACTCAATCTTAAATTTTTCCTTTAGTTAAATAAGTCAGAGCAAATTAAGTACCATTTTAGGCTTTTCTTCCTTTAGTGTGAAGAGGCGTTTCCACCAGCCCATAGCTCTGCGTCGAGTTTTCACTAGATTGCTGCAAATTTCATGGAATCTTTGCTGTTGCTCAGTGGTCCTAGAAAAACAATTTTCCCCTTCACTGTAAACAAATCCCCATAGTGGAAATACACCATCCTCTTAAAGATGATCTAAATAAAAAATAACAATGGCTCACCATCATCTCACTCAGGTGAAAAACGCCTTACACCACTGAGACACTTTTTATGGCACAGGAATATGTTTTTACATAAAGGGGTATGTGTGTATACATATTTTTAATATACTAACAGTAAATTATGGCTCTGAAGCCACATTTGTTTAATGATAGTCACAAAAAATTCATGACTACTTGGGGCCATGCAGAAATCAGTATAAATTAATTTCTCTGTTCCTTTAGTATTTTTCAGACCCTCATGAACCCTGGAGGTTGTAGCCCATCAGAGTCCCACTACTCTGAGAGGGATGTGAAGTTTCCACCAAATAGTTGTATTTGGGCACTCATCAATAAGGTAAAAATTATTAGCATTCAAAGCATAGATAACCCACAGCAGCAATAAAAAACAGTTCAAATCCAAATTCTTTACCAATTTACTCCCAGTGATGGAAGAGTTCATCACAAACAAAACGGCAGTAAAAATCCAAACAGATCCTCTAAGAAAGTCCTTTATATGTATGTTTTTCTTGTTTCTGATAAAAAATAACTGCCTCTGTACTGTCTGGTATACAGATATAATGGCTACTACAGTAAAACCTGCAAAAGCTGGAAACTGTGAAAGCCGGATACCTCTCAGAGAAGGAAAACTCAAATATTTTCCACTAAATAAAGAACGACAGAAAAATGGTGACTGTGTCCCATCAAAGGCAGAAAACTTGCAAGACCTGGAAAAACAAGGCAGTCCCATCAAGTTCTGGCTCTCACAGGTTTCACTGTACTACTTAGTAGCCCTAACCTGAGGGATGTGTGGCCTTCTCGCCTCCAGTCCTCATCCTTGTAGAACTGCAGTGATAGATACACTAAGAAGATCCTGCTGAGCCCTGGAACTTGTTGCAAACAATCAGACTTTATGTGCTGCCCATGGTCAAGGCTAGATTGTGGCAATAAAACAGTGTTCCTCCTTCCCCAAAAGATCAAAAAATAAAATTCACTCTATTGATAACTGAGTCACATACTGATTACCATGAAACTATCAGTGTTTACTTCTGAAAACTTTCCTCCAGGAGTTATGAATTTAGCAGATTTGAATGTCATCTGGCTAATAAAGTCAAGGTCAGAGGTTGATTCCCTATGCTAATAAAATTTGTTACAATGCATGATCATAAACTCCCCCAAAAGAACAGTAGCATAATTCATCGCTCAAGTGAAAAACAATTCAAAGGGCAGTTCCTAATGCTAATCTATTTTGCTTTGGGGGAAACATTTTAAAACAAACATGCTTAAATTACCCCATGACTTAAGCAAACTCCTCTAAAACATATGAATTTATTCTCAAAGAATCCATAAGGTACACACTTAAAATTCTTATTTTCATGGAGCCGGGGTGGCATAGTGGTTAAGAGCTCAGGTTGCTAATCCAAAGTTAGCAATTCAAATCCACCAGCTGCTCCTTGGAAACCCTGTGGGGCAGCTCTACTCTGTCCTAAAGGGTTGCCGATTTTTTAATTTGCTGTCATATGAGGAACAAAAAACTAAAGGCACAGACAAACTACCAATCGAACTAAATAAACAACCAAGAGAGACTAGCACCTGAGGGGAAAATCTATTCCATCATCTAATTTTGTTCATTATTTGGATCAAAGGTGGGAAATACAACATTCCAGAGGGAAGTTAAAATAATATGATCCTTACCCACGTAACTATGTCTTAGGACCTCATAAGAAATAAAGTCAAAAAATGGTATAAATGAAAATCAACTCACTTGTATATACAGTTCAAACTTACTCTAAAGCACTTGCTTTGCATTTGGCTGCCTACCTACCACTGCACTGTCTCAACTGCTCTACCTTAAACACAAGATCTTATAAGTCAAAATAAAAGCACTATGGAGATAATAAGAACTGGAAATTCACTCTTTGTATCTAAATCAGCTAAGAAATTCTTCATAGAAAAGCAAAGAAATCTAACCCCTAGGTATCTGGTGATTAGACAATCCTTGTGCTAATTGTAGCAGATTAATCACAGTCACCAGGTTCAGTAACTTCTCAAGGATTCCAAATCATGATTCCACCTACCATTTATTGGAGCCAAAAATTCTAGGTGCTAGAATGGGAACAAGGTAGTCGGCCAAGCACAAAAACATAACAAAACAGGAAACACCTGACAGAACAGATGGATCTAGGTAGTAGATGGTCCTGTTTAAAAGAAAAAAAATAAAGGTTAAAAACATAGTCACTATTATTCCTAGCTGAAGATTTTTAACTATTCATTTAGTCCACTGGTTCTCAAAGATGTTATTGGCCATTTTCTTTCAAATCTCCTACTCAGTGGAGTTTTCCAGAAGCTTCATGGCAAGATATCATCATTGCAATACCTAATGGAATATGTGCTTATGTGTTTCATGATTTGTTTTAATTTCAAGTACAGGCAGTCCCCGGGTTACTAACATCCGACTTACAAACCCCTACAAACCACCATAAAGCCTATTATATTAAAAATTTAAGGTGCATACAATGGTTCCTAATAACAAACAGGTGCTACTTTGCGACATGCATCAAAACATTATTGATATTATTATCACTGTATTATTATGTTAAAGACATTTTAGTGTATCTGGAAGTGTTTCTTTAATGTTTTATGCATAGAAAGGTACACTATTTGACTAACATTTAACTAAACATTTGACTAACTGAAGTTAGATATGAACTGTACCTAACTGTTCCAACTTACATATAAATTTGACTTAAAGACAGATTAGGAACAGAACTCATTTGTAATCCGGGGACTGCCTGTAGAGTAAATATCAATAGACAGAAGCTCTCGGAAGTCCTCTACAATTTCTAAGAGTATAAAAGGTCTTGAGGCCAAAAAGTCTGAGTGCCACTGATTTATTTAACTGCATCAGGTTACCGAGTTTACAAAAGTACTACAAGTTCTGAAAACTAGGCAAACTGCTCTAAGAAAGAAAAGGCATTCTGTACAGATTACACATTACAAAAGATTTAAGGCACTTTCATAAATGGAGGTTGTGCATTACCTGGGCCCTTGTTAACAGCAAGCACACACCATAGTTATGTAATAGCTCACTTACAGAAATACAAAAGAAACCACGCCCATGATAGCAGGTGGAAACCAGGCTCTTTCCCATCGGAGGACTTTGTCAGCCATCAGCATCACTTCTCCCCAGCCTTGCAGCTGCTCTTCCAGACTCGCTGTCTCTGCAGCCTACATATCATCGACATTCAAAGAGATCACTTTACCAATCTCAACATTTCTGTGATTCCTAGGGAGTTAAATTCTTCTAAGGTACTAAATATGTAAAATCGCTATCTTACAGATAGTTTCTGAAGACCGCTGTAATTCTGGCTTCACAGAAGGAAACCAAAGGGGAAAAACCTATCACTTAATGGTCACCTTCCAAGTCCAAGCTTTGGGCTAATTTACATACACAATGTAACACCACCCCTACAGAACCCTCGAGGTAGGGACAATTAGGTCCATTTTACAATTAAAGTGAGCTCAGAATGTTAACTTTCCCAGCCTCAGACATTACTAAGGGGCAGCACCCAGAATATTTAAAAATTAGATCACTTAAGGTTCAAGCAAGTGAACTTAAGGTGGTTAGAATTGATCTCTTGTTTTTGTCATTTCATTGACTGAAACCCTGACTTCTAAATTCCATTAGGAAAGCCTCTCTCTGAACAGCACTCAACTTCTGAAATAGCTTTCTGGGTAACTGTAATCATTTAGATGTTGGCATCATTGCAGGATCAAGGAAAACTACTTTTATCAAATTATATGTGGCATTTTAAGCTCAACATATCTCCTCAATACCACGTTTATTAGGACATTCTCGTTAGACTTCAAATTTCTCTGCAAATCTGACAAAAGGCTGAAAAGGGACCTTTAGGATGAGGTAAGTGCCAAAAGCCCTTAAATTGATTTTAGTAAAGGAAGAACAAAATGGAACAAAAAACCCAAGTGTCCTTATAAACGTCATTACTAGGAAATAGGGAAATAACAGGGGGCAGTGCTGTTTAATCTTAACAAAGATGCTATCTGTGCCACACTGATCACTCAGGTGACTTGAATATTCCTGACTTTATATCCCCTGCTTAATACTAGTAAAATACGAATGATTAATATGTGCTAGGAACTCTGCTAAGCATTTTATACGCTTATACTTCAAATAATCCTTCCAACAACCATAAAAGGAAGGTGTTGTTATTATTCCCATTTTACAGAAGAAACTGATATACACAGAGATTAACAGATTTGAACCAAGGAAACCCAAGCCCAAAGGCTCTGCTCTCTTTACAAGTTATCCTGCTCTGCTGCAAAGAGTAGTTGAGTGGAGGATTCCAAGCTCTAGACTAGAATCTGTCATTTCAATAGCTGTGTGAGTTTAGGCAACTTCTTTGTGCCTTAATCCTCTTAAAAGGCATCCGAGAAGCTGTGGGTTGTGTGTTTTTAAGGGGGCAGGCCATGCATTTCTAAAAACCAGTGCAAAGTGAAAATCACGCACAATCCAAACAGCCTGGGGCAAAGTGACTTAATTCGTTAGCACCCGGGCGGTTTCAAAAGCTGAAATTTTAAATGCTTTGGTTCCTCTTTTCTCAGCGGTGTGGTGTGGCCAGCCTTTCCCTGGAGTAGGGCAACGGAGAAAACGCAAGATTTCTCTTTCTTGTTTTTGCCTAGCTCTTGCAGTTAAACTTGTGCGCCTGGGGTACGACCTCACTGTAGTCTAAAGTTCTCTCCAGTCGTCCTGTGACCCCGAGCCTTTCAAAGTGCAGACAAACGCCAAGTCGTCCTATTGTCCTTCCAGCTGGACCCCACTCCCAGTTCCCTGCGGTGACCGCGCAGCCTCGCTGCCGTTTTAAGTTGTGCCAGCTATCACAGAAACTCTCGGCAGCAGCCCTTTGACCCTCCAGCTCTGCCCCAAGCATTAGGGGAGGAGAAAAAAGGCACATTCCCGTCCGGGTAATACCAAAGAGGGGGAACCCCCGATTCGGCTGGCGCCTGGGCGCCCTCCGCCCAGCCTGCACCCCAGCTTCCCTGCCGGCACCCCTTCTCACATGTCCTCCCCAACCCCCATTCGCAGAGACTAATGACGCGCCCTCCTCGCTCCGTTGCGCACCTTCCCCAGGTAATGACAGAGATCAACACGACTAGTTACCGCCACCCACGAGCTACCCAAGAAGAACGAGGAGCAGGTAGCGTCGCCTGTGCCTGGAGCCGGGCCCGCCGCGAGTGACAAGAACGAGTCAGGCTGCAGTTGCCCGTTTGGGCCCGCCGAAATCCGGAAACGCTGCTCAGTTCCCTCGCGATGGGCCGCAGCTACTCACCAGCAGGTTGGTGCTGCGATTATCGCCCTCCGCCATCGACCCTGAGGCGCCGCCTCAGCGAGCTCAGACTGCACTCAACAACAGCCTACCCGAGCCCCTCACGGCGACCTCTGCGCGAGAGTACGCCCCGCAAGTGCTTATATAGGCCGGCCGTCTTTCCCGACAGCCTCCGCGAAACTCGCTCCTCATTGGGCAGATCGAGCTCAAACCTAAGGGGAGCCAGACCAACCGCTGCCCAGCGCATGGCTAGAAATCGAGGCCAAAGGAGAGACTGGCCTAGCCGGCCAAGGAGGCGGGGACAAGGAGTAGCCAATCAGAGCCCAGGAAATGTGCGCGGCCCACCCTGCGCTTTCGGAAGCGGTTGAACCGCCGCTGCCAGGGGAAAGGTTTGGCTTTAGTATCCATTTGATTGGAGCCGGGAAGGCTCTCGTACCCTCTTCCCCTGGGCCTCAAAGCAGTTAAGGCGCTTCTCTGCTGTGCAGGACCAGGCGGAAGGCCGAGAAGGGGATGTGACACTTAACCTCATTGTGGTTAGGGCGGCCGGTTGGGATCCTCACCCCATCAGGCCACTGCCCCCTCGGCGGCCCTGCCTAATAATCCCTGTTCTCGTCCCCTTGCCAGATCACTGAGCAGTTTAACTCAGATTTGTGACTTGTGCCCACATCATGAGGATTTGAGGACAAGTAAAAGCTATTTGGAAACCCTAGTGGCGCAGTGGTTGAGATCTAGGCCGCTAACCAAAAGGTCAGCAGTTCCATCCACCAGGCGCTCCTCAGAAACCATAATGGGGTAGTTCTACTCTGTCCTATGGGGTCGCTATGAGTCAGAATCGAACGGCAATGGGTTTTTTTTTTTTTTTTTAAAGCTATTTATGTAGATTTTGCTACAATTTTTCTCTCCTACCGAGTTAGTGACAAGGCCTTAACTTGGGGGGTGGGGGGGAAAGGGGGTCATAGTCTGTGAGAACACGTGAAAATGCACCGATTTATAAAGTTGTCTTATTTACATGAGGTCTTTGGGGGAAATTGTTTGTGGAGCACTTCGGTTACTTCTTAGAGAAACTACGCGCTCTCTCTCCAAAAAGGGATTGGTTTTACATTAGAGGTCACATATTAAGATGTAAACCCGTTTACAAGCAATTTAGGAAGTAGATGAACTATGAGAGACACTTGTCTTTTCTATCTAGGATTTCAAAATGTATTAACAAGTGCTTTGATTTTTTTTATTCAATACAAAAAAAAAAAAGTGGCCTGGTCAGATGTTTTCCTTTAGGTAAGTTAACCAGTGTTTAACTTCCAGCTTTTATCCTTTTATAATCATCTATTTTATGTCATCTATTTTAAGCACATTCATTAAATACCAGGTTCTTAAGAGTTGAAGGAAAGGAAAGCATAAAGATACGTGATAGAATATAGTTCTTGCCTCAAGAAAGCCAGGCAAGGGCAGGAGCAAAGCGAATTTCATCAAAGGGTATGAAATTTGCTGTGGATCTTGGGGGAAAATAAAGCATTTGGGTCAGATAGGACACTTGAGAAATAGCCTTTGCAAGGCAAGGGAACTCCCCAGTAAGTTCCCCTTTGGGAGATGTTGAAAAATAGGTTGTATAAGTTAAGATGCAGCTAGTTGATATAGAGACCCCATTTACGGGGATTTGAAAGCTATGGAGTTTGAGGGCAGGCTCTCCCCCACCTCTTCAAAAGAAAAATAGGAGGCAGCAATTCACATAATTAGTAAAAATATCCAGCACTGAGCACACAATCTCACTGTAGGCTCTGTAACATCCACTTCCAGAGAGGACACAGAGCTTTTGGCAGGCTTTAAAAACTGACATTTCTTCTTTGAGAAATCAGCTTTTGCTACAGAATGCTACTGGTTTCACCGAAGTTCCCTGCGTACTGCTTAAGAAGGAAGACTTTAACACCAGATTGTGTGAGGTAGCTAAGAAAGACAGAAACAACTCAAGGAGCATAGGTTCTCCAAAGAGTATTGTTACTCAAGGGGTGTGTTCCCAAACCTATTTCCAAATTCACAGCCTAGGGGCACCGTTATTCAGTCTGCCACTAAGCCTTTGAATTGGCCTAACTAAAAACAGAAACACCTACCCTGTAGTTTTCTTCCTGAGCTGTTTTTGTACTCTAGACAGGATGTGATCTTTTGAAATGTGCCAGATGACTGAGCAATTAACACAAATCCTTTTGCTTTTGTTGCCACAGTTTACCCCACGTACAACAGAAGGAAATGTCGACCAGTCCTGTGCCATCCCGATTGTTGGCATGCTCGAGTCCCTTGTTGCTGCCACCGTGTATTTTGAGTACCTTCCAACCTAAGGGACTCATCTTCCAGCACTGTATCGGACAGTCTTCTGTTGTGATCCATAGGGTTTTCATTGGCTTTTTGGAAGCAGACCGCCAGGTCTTTCTTCCTTGTCTCTCAGTCTGGAAGCTCCACTGAAACCTGTCCACCATGAGTGACCCTGCTTGTATTTGAAATAACCGGTGGCAAAGCTTCCAACATCATAGCAACATGCAAGCCACCACAGTAAGATAAACTGTCACACGGGTGGTAGTAACAGTCTAGCACCAACAAATGTAAACTTCAAAATACCAAAACAAGTTGGCCATTTTAATGCAATTTACCTTCAGAACTTTCACACCCGAGGGAACATAAACTTCACATCTTCTTTTATGCCAGTAACGATCTTTGGGAGTACTGTTATGAAGTATTGCCAAAATTAAGCTTAATCAAATTGGTCCTTAAGATTAGGAACTTTCCCATTGAATTAAAATTTCCACTGCTGTTCAATTATAGAACTTTGAGGGTTAAAAAAAATTACTGTTTTGAGAATTACGGTTTTTGAGTTTTTTTTGAAGATTAGTGCTTTTAAAAAAAAAAAGGCAACCCATGTCCCAAAGTTAAATTTTGCAGAATCTACTTTGACCAATAAATTCAGAGCTTAAATGCTACATCTTTTGGGACTGAACCTTTATTTTTTGAAAAACAGGTATTTCATACAATCTTTGCCATGTTAATGCAAATCTGCACAAAGTAGGCATGTGTTTTTGTTTTCCAAAAGATGCATTATGAACATTTTCAGGAAGCTGGTGTGATTTATTCAACTTTTAATCTTAAATACAATCACAAAATTATACCCATCAGAAGGCATTACAACCTTTTGTACAGAGAAGCCACAATGTTACCTGGACAAGGAAGATTCAGTTCAACTCAATTTGCTCTTATAATACGGGTAAAAACTAAATTAACAAGTGAAATATGATGTCATTGCCACTGACATTACAGGTGGAAATACAAGGGAAATTTAAACCAGAAAAATAACTGACACAAGAACTTTAAATAGGAGCTGAAACTCTGCCAGAAAAAAAAACACCAAAACACTATATGTAATCAGCTTGTTTTAAAAGAAAAACACTCTATAATTCTGCATTTCAGAACAACAATTCCTTAAGTTTACCATCTTTAAAAAAAAAAAAATCCGAGCTATTTTATGACCCTTGTATGTTAATTAGCACAACAGCTTTTCCCTAGTAAGTTCAGCAGATCCCGTGGAAAGCAAGAGACTCTTAAGTGGTTCATGTACGACTAACCCTTGAGCCAAAAAGCTTCTCTCAATTAGAGTCAATTTGCCCTTTTGTAATAAGGAATGGTGACACTGCTACCCAGGCCAAAAAAAAAAGCCAGGAAAACTGAACAGACCCTCAGAGTTTCCTAATGCCATGAATTTCCCCTCCCCAAGGTTTGGGAAATGCTGTGATACTAGCTAGATTTTCCCCATAGGAGGAACCTTCCTAAATACAACCGAAATACTGAAAACAAAATTTATCTTCTTTAGGTGACCCTTACGTTAACAATACATTCTACCTCCTTGATTTAAGTGGGGGGGATGTCCTAGTTCTAAATTACTGGCATTTTAAAAGCCCAACAAGATAATAAAATGGAGGGACATTGGTTTTTATCCTCATGTAATTTTATGTAAAACAAAGGTACTTAAATGTGCTAACAGTAAAACATTCACTGATTTTTGATGTATGTGAATAGAATCTATAGGCTAATTATGGGTGCTTTGTTTAATATGAAAAAAATTGGGAGAAAAGAAAAAGAACCAGCTCCTTTGATTTTAGCACTGACAAAACAAGTTAAGCCCCCAGAGTAATTACAAAAATGTGGAGGAAAATAGGCCAGGAAGACTTTTCCATTTAAAGTACTGCCTATAATACCCCAGATTAAATAGGACCTAAGATTGCACATCAACTCTAATATTTGGCTGTACTTGCATTGCCCTGCTCGGCATTTTTTAATGGCTCTTTCCTTAAATTTCACACATCAGAACAACCACAATTAAAAAACAAAAAAACAATGCAGATAACACCATACAATGGACGATTAAGAAAACTACTCCTTAAGTAACAGAGGCAAATGTTAAGGGCAGAAGTGATGGAAGTGTTTCTTTGTATTACAAACTCTGGCCCTGAACCTGGGGTTTGGGCTCTAAGAAAGCAATTTAAGGAAGCAGATCAAGAGCTGGATTATCAGTTGTCACACAGAAATCCCACATACTAAAACAACTCACCACAAGTACTCAGACACAAAAGCAGCTTCATATTATCATCTAGCAAACTAAGAACTGTTGACCAGACACAGCAAGACACCAAAGAAAAAGAGTAAAGAGAACTACAGACAGCTCCATAAACTGCTACACCGCCAGAGCTTTGTAGAGAAAAATCAATTTTTAAAAATTAGGCAAGTCTAGCAAATTAAAGACAACAAACACTGGAGATAAACTTCCATTTCCAAGGGTACTTTCAGCAGAAGAGGTTGCAGGTTATTCTGTACCCCTGAATCTTAGAAAGAGAGGGAGGGAGAACAGGGGAGAGGGGGAGATAGAGGGAACACGCGAGAAAGAGAGAAAAGATCCCTGGTTTTTCACAGGTATTTTGTGTGTCATCAAAAATTCATGACTTCTTAACTACTGCACTCTAACTAGATTACTTTACAAAATAATCCCCAAAATATAGCCCTGTCTTCTCCATCTAAGGTATCGCCAGGACCTTTTACCTCTGGTTAAATCCCTAACTGTTGAGTTCTCTCACAACAGTCCCAACTGGCAAGGCTACTTGCA